AGCCTACAAATACAATAGGCTACCCGTCAACTACTCGCTAGCCCCCCACACACTCAGCAGATGCATCGCACTGCAATCTTTGCACGAGAAGGGCGTGAGGTTTCCTTTCTACTCACAACCTCATGGTCATGGAGAGATTGAAGCCTTGAGTGATCTCCACACAGCCCAGTTGATTTTGCACCTCAAAAGCCTGGGGTTGCGATCAATTTGGAAGAGAGCTTCCCCCAGCTGCTGCAGTGAGCGGAGTATCTTGGGATTGTGCTCAACTGCAACACTCCAAGAGCGTACCTGTGCGCGTCGCTTGGTTGTTAACAGCTGTTGAGAATTATTTTAGAGCATTATAGCCTAAATTGTTATCATTAATTACTAGAGCGAAGGTGGTCTACATTGTCATTGTTTAAAGTATTATTTCAGAGTGTAAAGTTCACAATGTTAAAACTCTATAGCTCTTGTCATCATTTAAAGAGTTATTTTATAGTGTAAAGTTAAGATCACAACGCTGAAACTCCATAGCTCTGAGAGTGTGTGGTCCTCTCTGTGTCTAGCTGCCCGGAGGCAGTAACAGTAGCACATGTGTGTGTAAGCAGGTACGTGCACTCTGGGAGCAGAATGAGCACAGCAAGGCATCATCAAAAACACCAGCAAAGGAAAATGTAGAAGCAGAATTAGTGAAAATTTTGTTACAAAACATACATCAATACAGTAAGAAGGTCCTGTCTATAGCACACAGCACAAAAGACACCAGCTTATTCCACAAAGTCAGGTTATGGTTTAAAAAGCATGATCAGCGAGAGCCACAGTGACACAAATAATAACAAAGCTGAAGAAAAAATGTCAAAACAAGTTAAATTTTGTATTTCATCTTAAAATAAATTAACTTTACTTCAACATCATCAATGCACTCAGAGAAACATTCCTTTTTATGCAGCTCCAGTGTTCTCATATAACCTATTGCACAGTATGTTGTTGAAACAGGAAGCCGTAAATAATCTAAATGTGAATGTTTTCAACTGAGTTGTTAGAATTTTTGTTGTTGAAAAAATGAAATCATAAATACATAACTTTTCATTTGCCAAATAAATGTTCACATGACAATTTCAAGCTGCAACAGTTGATCTTTAGCCCGTCTGTGTTCTTCTCAATGCAAAGTGAACTTCCTCACAGTCTGCTATAAAGACTTGATATCATGCTGTGAGTTGCAGCAGAAGAAGAGAAGCTCAGATCATTTTCAATACCAACCATGTCCTGTGTAGCTCTGCTGCTGCTGCTGGATCCTGTGAGTCACTGACAGTATGATCACAGCACACTGATAGTTCACTGTTCACTGTCCTCCACAGGTGTGAAGTGTGAACAGTTGACACAGCCAGCCTCTGTGACTGTGCATCGGAACAAAAACCCCTCAGTGCCTGAACACTTGTAACATGAATCCACCAGAGGAGGAGCCCTCAGACCAATAATGACTTCAACACCAGCTCACTGTTACAGGGAGAAACAGACATATTTAGCAATGAAAAAGGTAAAAGGAACATAAAATGTTTTGTGTAAAATAAAATTGTATTAAATATACAGTGGAGGCATTTTCCAAAACAAATCTTCCCTGTCTGGCTTTCATTAGTACTAATTAATAGTAATATTATTTTTCTTCCTGTTGTTACAAGTGAACCGTTTGTGTAAGAATTTTCTCCATTGTAATATGAATATCACTTTCATTTTATGCCTGCAGTCATATTAAGATGGGTAAAAACAATCTCACCTTTTTTTGCAAAGTCAAGATTTTTTGTCATAATAGTTTACGAGTATGTTTAATATTGTTGTTTATCACTTGATAAAACACACAATTCCACTTTTGAGGGAAATTCTTATTGAGGAAGGTTTTAAATTTAGTGTTAATGCAAAACCTAACTGTTTTACAACTTCACTAATGTGACTGTAGGAAGGATGACAAACTTTATTTTACATAACAAAACAGAATTTATGTGTGACTGGACAATGTCTTGTAATATAATCAAACGTTTTCTTATTTTTATTCTTGCTGGTGTATCCACTGATATATTTATGTTGTTGGTGTGTCTGTCTGTTTTTAACCCACTGAGTCCTGCACACTTCCTTTTCTGACAGATTTTAGTCCTTTTGTATCAACATTGTATCTCCAAAATCTCTGATTTCCTGAAAATTGTTTTACTTATGAACACTTTGTGAGAAAGTCAATATTATAACATAATAAAAAATATTTGTTAAGCTGTTAAACTATTCGAATAAATAAAAATATAATTTAGTGATAAATTATTGTCAAACGCTTCACATGTTGTAGACTGTGTGTAATAAACAACTTAAAGAATGTGTTTATCAATGTATTGCACAAATAAATACTGAAACATAAAACTCTTGCAGGAATCAGTATGTACAGTAAACATTGATTCTCTGGTTTTGCCAAACAATAACTGAGATCCAAGTCAAATCCAGTTCCACACTGTGAGGAGGAGTCAATGCAAAACTCAGATGTCTTCCACCTCTACTTATCTGACTGCAGAGAGGATGACAGAGAACAGTGGACACACAGTTTAACATGATGGACTATAGGACAGGACTGCTGCTTTTAACTGTCTGCTGGGCAGGTGAAGATATTATCTGAACTTTTACATAGATTATATCTGTATTACCAGCTCATTTCCTTTGGTGTTTTCTATCCTCTCAACAGGTGTTGAAGGTCAAACTCTGACAGAATCTGAACCAGTGGTTAAAAGGCCTGGAGAATCCCACAAATTGACCTGTACAGCCTCTGGATTCACATTCAGCAGCTCCTGGATGAACTGGGTCAGACAGGCTCCTGGAAAAGGACTGGAGTGGGTTGCCTGGACTAATACCGATGGTAGCAGCAAATCCTACTCTCAGTCAGTTCAAGGCCGGTTTACCATCTCCAGAGACAACAGCAGACAGCAGCTGTATCTGCAGATGAACAGTCTGAAGACTGAAGATTCTGCTGTTTATTATTGTGCTCGAGACTCACAGTGACTGGAGTTGGTGGAGCAGCTGTACAAAAACCCACAGTGCTCTTCTTTGAGCTGTTAGAGCCTAATTACATGTTTTTTTTTATTTTTATAGCACTTATATTATGTTACATTACATTTGTTTTTTCACAAGGTCATGTAAACTGTTCCTGAGGAATCTTATTACTGAACATTAAACAAATAGAAAAAAACACACACACAAAAAGATTGAAATAAAGAGATGAGCTGACTGTGGCTTCTCACAAGTGGTTTCAGGAAATCACCACCCACTACTGAAGTGACGGGTCAAGTCAAAAAATAGTCCAGATAGTGGTATGTGTGTGCTTTTGGTCTGAATTGGGCTTATATGGTATGACCAACAGTAGCTGAAGTGAACAAGAGCAAGATTTAGCAAAAAAGGGGACATTATACACAAACTTTAATAATATGAGACTTACGTACTTTCAATGGATGCACACAATAATCAGAAACAAAGGCATTAACACCCACTTTTTAACTTAATTGGACTAATTACTGGAACTCTCAGGACTCTGATCTTGTGAACTGCCTGGGTGGAGGGACATAGAGGCTACTGGCTTTAAATCCAGCATGTCGGCTGTTTTTCTATGACTGCTCCTCTGTTTTCCACCGTTGTTTGCGATACATCACAAGTCTCGCCGATGTCTGCCTGATGTCAGTAATTTATTGCTCGGAAATAGCAGCCAACTTACACCGGTGTGTTTACAGTGAACAGCTGATGGAGTTACGCTAAATACTGGGTCGAGAGTTGTTGTTTTAAGTTTTTACACAGACCCGAAGCGGAACAGCTGATTACAGCAGGTAAAAAAGCTCCTTGAATATAATGTTCCTCTGTGCTCAGGCGGACACAGACTTGAGTGCTGCAGCTGATCTGCAGCTCTTGTCGACTGGAAATGTTTTAATAACCTTCCAAACTGTTGCGATTTTATTTTTGTGTTGCTTTCTCTGTGCTGAAGTTATTTTAAGAACTTGATGGTTTTGTGGCCAGTTTGTTATTAAATTTGTAAAAAACTTTATCGTGTGTCTCTTCATTATACTCCCACACAAAAAGCTGTTGGCTGATCAAGCAAAGCCTAGAGCCTTCATTATATTCTAATCAAATCTGATGTTCATTTATAAATTTTGCTCATGGATAGTGGTTACTAAATAATGATGCGTCTGCATCACTTACAGATACATTAATGTTTGTAAATTATGTGGAATCTAAAGTGAGTCATAATATGAGAGTGACAAAAAATATTGCAGATTCTTTCACAAAATCACTAGAAGGCAGTCAGTGTCAAGTTTCTAAAAGGAGACACTCAGATCTGCTGTTCTCATTGATCTTAACTGACACTTGAACTCTGGACTGAACTAAAGCTTAACACTCCTGCTGCTCATGTACACTGGATACTGTGATAGTTGATACTTTTCTACTCTAAACAAAAGTCATGTGTTAACTTGATTCAGCACATTTTGAACAGAAAAGCACGACAGCACATTTACATTTTTTTTTTACACAACAAACCAAAACACCCCGGCAACAATTAACCACATAGCATGATATTTGATTAAGACAGTTTTCTTTCTGACATAATCAGACACAGATAGATGTAAAATGTAGGTATAATCACAGAAAGTAACATATAAATGCGTGAACTACTTTAGTTATTCATCATGAAATTATTCATCATCGTCTTTTATGCAAACCTTCAAACCAGCAGCATCATACTTAAGTTTTTATACCATCTACATGATCCTGGCTGCTGTCACTGTATTTGTGTTTGCAGCAATATTATTTTAATGAATAAGTTTTCCATTATCCATGATTCATGTTAATATTTACATTAAGAATAGTTATAATGAAAATATACGTAAAGCAGAGGTGATTTCCAGGCATGTTTTCACTCTGCAGATATAATAACAGTAAACAGACTCTTCTATTGGCTCCAGTTAGACCAACATTGATGCTTGTTGCATGTATTTGATTCTATGCAAACTCAGTGACCTTCCTTGTTACTCAGCTATAAAAACTTCCCATCAGGCTGTCAGTGGAGTTCACAGCACGTCACTTTCAACATAAACCATGTTTTCTGTAGCTCTGCTGCTGCTGTTGGCATCTGGATGTGAGTCTCTCTGGATTTGTCAAAGTCAGCAGTCTTCTTTTGCAGTATAACTTGATCATTTGTTACAAAACATTTTCTTTTTTAACAGGTGTGAAGTGTGAACAGTTGACACAGCCAGCCTCTGTGACTGTGCAGCCAGGTCAACGTCTGACCATCACCTGTCAGGTCTCTTATTCTGTTGGCAGCTACTTCACAGCTTGGATCAGACAGCCTGCAGGGAAAGGACTGGAGTGGATTGGAATGAAATATACAGGAGGCTCTTACTTCAAGGATTCACTAAAAAACAAGTTCAGTATCGACTTAGACTCTTCCAGCAACAGAGTGACTCTAAACGGACAGAATGTGCAGCCTGAAGACACTGCTGTGTATTACTGTGCCAGACAGACACAGTGAGAGACAGCAACAGGAGAGCTGTACAAAAACTACTTCCTCTATTTACCACCACTACTGTCAATATTCAGTGTTATTTGTTGTTTTTTTTTCACAATACTGATTGTTACTCTCAAAAGCAAATTATTATATTCGAGTTTTATCAGAAGCAAAAGGAATTGGTAATATAATTTGGAAACAATTAAATAGTCTAATAAAATAAACAAAATAAAAAAACAAAACAAATAAAAATAGTCTAATAAAACCAAAAGTAAATATCACCCAAAAATATTAACTTAAAGTCGGGAAAGACATTATCTCTAATCATGGTCAAGTTGATAATGAATTTTATGATTTGTTTTTTATATTATTCAATCCGTTAAAGATCTTGCCATAAGCTTCCCCCATATTAATACTAAAGCAAATGTCATGGCTCCTAATGAAGGTGATGTCAACTGATTTCAGAGCAGAGAGGTTGACCAATCGTTTTGAAAGATATTGAGAATTTAAACACTACTTTTTCTAAGGACATGTAATTTAGATACTGTATTCTTAAAAAAATATAGTAGTATTCTGGTTCAGCCACTTACTCACCTTATTAATATCTCCATCAAAACTGGACAATTCCCAGATGGATGGAAAAATGCCTTGGTAATGCCTATTTTAAAATCCAGGAATGCTGAAGTAGTTAGCAACTATCGGCCAATAAGTCTTCTTACAGTTCTGTCTAAAGTGCTGGAGACCCTCTGCAGTTTGGTTTCAGACATAATTACTCCAGAGTCAGCAACCTGATATAGGTCTTCAGATGTATGCTGACGATACAGTCATCCATGTATCTCGCAAAACCTGTGATGATGTTGCAAATAAGCTAACCAAAACCTTGTCAGTTTGGCTTGAACCCTCCTGTTTGACACTAAACACCAAGAAAACAAAGTCTCTCTGTTTTTTTGTTAAAAAGCTATCTAAAAACCGAATCCCTGAATGTTAAAATGAAAGGTGAGCTTATTGAACAAGTACCAGAAGTGAGGTATCCGGGGATAATTTTAGACTCCCAGTTAAACTTTAAAAGTCACACTAAAAAGATTTGCGAAACGATTAAGGCTAACCTTACCTGTTTTAAGATGATAAGAAAATGCTTGCCATTTGATTGCGCCTTGATGTTTTTAAATTCAATGATACTTTCTCATCTGTCTTATGGTTTAACTACCTGGTCTCAGGCCAATCAGTCTGTGATTAAATCTATAGTGTCTTTACAATCAAGCCTTGAAAACTCAAAGCAAAAAACAAAAAACAAAAAGCAAGTTGGGTACCATCACTGTCGCATTTTAAGCAAATAGCCTACAAGATTTTAAGTTTTGCAAACTTTATTGATTTTCATTATGTAAAGCTTGTATTTAAATGTTTAAATGGACTTGCTCCTCTGTAAGTACATTAAGAGACTACAGAGTAGCAGCAGATCCACCAGAGCAGCTTCAAGTGGCGATTGTAAAGTTTCATTTTGCAAAACTTCTTTTGCTCTGTGAAAGAAGCAAAGTGTTGGAACTTGCTACCTAAACACTTGAAAACTGCTGCAAACTTCACCACTTTTAAAAGAGAGGCCAAGTCCTGGTTAGTTCAGCAACAAACGTGTACTCACATCTAGTCTACAGTAGTTAGCATTACATGTGTTTCATAGCATTTTTATTTACTCATTTTACCTCATTTTATCTTGTGTTATACTGTAATGTATTGTATTTTATTTTTTCTTTCATCACTGTTTTAATGTTTCTTCTAATGTTCTAATGTTCATTTTTCTTTAAAAGCCCTTCTAGGGCCAGGTGTTGCAAATAAGCAACTGCTAAAAATACTATGGTAGACACATTAGATTGCTGTTTTCAGTTTATCTATGTTAGATGTATTGGTCCCAAATAAAAATAAACAATAAATAAATAATACTGTTACTGATGAAAATACTGAGTAGTGACTGTTTGAATATTAAAGTTCCAACCTATACAAACAAATAAAATACAGTGAGGAAAATAAGTATTTGAACACCCTGCTATTTTGCAAGTTCTCCCACTCAGAAATCATGGAGGGGTCTGAAATTGTCATCGCAGGTGCATGTCCACTGTGAGAGACATAATCAAAAAAAAATAATCCAGAAATCACAATGTATGATTTTTTAACTATTTATTTGTATGATACAGCTGCAAATAAGTATTTGAACACCTGTCTATCAGCTAGAATTCTGACTCTCAAAGACCTGTTAGTCTGCCTTCAAAATGTCCACCTCCACTCCATTTATTATCCTAAATTAGATGCACCTGTTTGAGGTCGTTAGCTGCATAAAGAAACCTGTCCACCCCATACAATCAGTAAGAATCCAACTACTAACATGGCCAAGATCAAAGAGCTGTCCAAAGACACTAGAGACAAAATTGTACACCTCCACAAGGCTGGAAAGGGCTACGGGGAAATTGCCAAGCAGCTTGGTGAAAAAAGGTCCACTGTTGGAGCAATCATTAGAAAATGGAAGAAGCTAAACATGACTGTCAATCTCCCTCGGACTGGGGCTCCATGCAAGATCTCACCTCGTGGGCTCTCAGTGATCCTAAGAAAGGTGAGAAATCAGCCCAGAACTACACGGGAGGAGCTGGTCAATGACCTGAAAAGAGCTGGGTCCACCGTTTCCAAGGTTACTGTTGGTAATACACTAAGACGTCATGGTTTGAAATCATGCATGGCACGGAAGGTTCCCCTGCTTAAACCAGCACATGTCAAGGCCCGTCTTCAGTTTTCCAATGACCATTTGGATGATCCAGAGGAGTCATGGGAGAAAGTCATGTGGTCAGATGAGACCAAAATAGAACTTTTTGGTCATAATTCCACTAACCGTGTGTTTGGAGGAAGAAGAATGATGAGTACCATCCCAAGAACACCATCCCTACTGTGAAGCATGGGGGTGGTAGCATCATGCTTTGGGGGTGTTTTTCTGCACATGGGACAGGGCGACTGCACTGTATTAAGGAGAGGATGACCGGGGCCATGTATTGCGAGATTTTGGGGAACAACCTCCTTCCCTCAGTTAGAGCATTGAAGATGGGTCGAGGCCGGGTCTTCCAACATGACAATGACCCGAAGCACACAGCCAGGATAACCAAGGAGTGGCTCTGTAAGAAGCATATCAAGGTTCTGGCGTGGCCTAGCCAGTCTCCAGACCTAAACCCAATAGAGAATCTTTGGAGGGAGCTCAAACTCCGTGTTTCTCAGCGACAGGCCAGAAACCTGACTGATCTAGAGAAGATCTGTGTGGAGGAGTGGGCCAAAATCCCTCCTGCAGTGTGTGCAAACCTGGTGAAAAACTACAGGAAACGTTTGACCTCTGTAATTGTAAACAAAGGCTACTGTACCAAATATTAACATTGATTTTCTCAGGTGTTCAAATACTTATTTGCAGCTGTATCATACAAATAAATAGTTAAAAATCATACATTGTGATTTCTGGATTTTTCTTTTTTAGATTATGTCTCTCACAGTGGACATGCACCTACGATGACAATTTCAGACCCCTCCATGATTTCTAAGTGGGAGAACTTGCAAAATAGCAGGGTGTTCAAATACTTATTTTCCTCACTGTATAATTCTTTATTTTTAAGGGAAAAAAATACATTTTTGTTGTTTGTCCTTTAAAGCAATGTTTCATACAATTCTGTATTAGTGTGGTAAAATTTTTTCGATGTATCTTTGTAATGACATTGAGTGATATCATGCATGTGATACAAAAACGTACATTTCGGTAAAAAAAATAAATAAAATGTTCCACATTATTTGCTACATTTTTTATGAAAACAATTTACCTACACCTAAAACACAATACACAATTAATTATTCTTTGTATGACAACAGTCAGCATGTTACCAGTATGGTGGCCAGACCACTGTCCCAGAAGTTACAGAAAATGTAATAAAGTCCAATTAGCAAAACCAGCAAGACCTCAGCAGCCTCCCAGTCCACAGATGTCCATACTGTGACCAAGTGGGGATGAGTTTAACTACTTGATGACCTACACAGGAATAAGCTCCTGTGCAGCTCAGTGAAACACTTTGGGGGTATGAGTCTGTAGCTGAAGACGATTCTCTTGTCCAAGCAGAATATTAGTAAACATTTACCTGTTTGATTGTTAGTTTGTTGTTTTTTAAATAACACAATTTCAAGTATTGAGTAATTGTGACACACAGTTCATCTTTCACTTATAGCCTGTCAGTGTCCTTCTCTATGCAAAGTGAACGTCCTCAATCTGCTATAAAGACTTGATATCATGCTGTCAGTGGCAGCAGAAGAAGAGAAGCTCCCATCAGATCACCTTCAATACCAACCATGTTCTCTGTAGCTCTGCTGCTGCTGGATCCTGTGAGTCTCACTGAGGCAGAGACACTGACAGTATGATCACAGCACACTGCCTGTTACCAGAATCAGCTTTTTTGCCAGGTATGTGTACACATACAAGGAATCCGACTCTGGATTGAACATTGCTGGATCTGCAGTGATGTTTCCTGACTCTGGAAATGTATAAGTCCTGAATGGAGGGCAGGTTAACACAGATGATCTTTTCTGCAGTCCTGACTGTCCGTTGTAGTCTGCTCCTCTCTTTTTTGGTGGCAGATCCAAACCAGACAGTGATGGACGTGCGGAGGACAGACTGGATGATGGCTGTGTAGAAGTGGATCAGCAGCTCCTCCAGCTGGTACAGGAAGTACATCCTCTGCTGGGCCTTCTTAATGATGGTGTCCATGTTGGACTCCCACTTCAGGTCCTGGGATATGGTGGATCCAGACACAGGGCTGTTGAGCATGGTGATGGGGGGCAGAGTGGGGGGGCTCTTCCTGATGTCTGGAGGTTCATACTATAAACAGTGTATCTGTTCTTTTTGGAAGACGAGGTGTTGGATACACCACATGTTACAAAGATTCACTAAAGAACAAGTTCAGTATCGACTTAGACTCTTCCAGCAACACAGTGACTAAACGGACAGAATGTGCAGCCTGAAGACACTGCTGTGTA